CACACACAAACACACACACACACACACACACACACACCCTCACGAACACACACACACACCCTCACCCTCATGAACACACACACACATCCACTCCCTCAACCTCATGAACACACACACACACCCTCACCCTCACGAACACATACACACACACACACCCTCACGCACACACACACACACACACAAACAGAGACACACACAAACAGAGACACACACAAACAGAGACACACACAAACAGAGACACACACAAACAGAGACACACACAAACAGAGACACACACAAACAGAGACACACACAAACAGAGACACACACAAACAGAGACACACACAAACAGAGACACACACAAACAGAGACACACACAAACAGAGACACACACAAACAGAGACACACACAAACAGAGACACACACAAACAGAGACACACACAAACAGAGACACACACAAACAGAGACACACACAAACAGAGACACACACAAACAGAGACACACACAAACAGAGACACACACAAACAGAGACACACACAAACAGAGACACACACAAACAGAGACACACACAAACAGAGACACACACAAACAGAGACACACACAAACAGAGACACACACAAACAGAGACACACACAAACAGAGACACACACAAACAGAGACACACACAAACAGAGACACACACAAACAGAGACACACACAAACAGAGACACACACAAACAGAGACACACACAAACAGAGACACACACAAACAGAGACACACACAAACAGAGACACACACAAACAGAGACACACACAAACAGAGACACACACAAACAGAGACACACACAAACAGAGACACACACAAACAGAGACACACACAAACAGAGACACACACAAACAGAGACACACACAAACAGAGACACACACAAACAGAGACACACACAAACAGAGACACACACAAACAGAGACACACACAAACAGAGACACACACAAACAGAGACACACACAAACAGAGACACACACAAACAGAGACACACACAAACAGAGACACACACAAACAGAGACACACACAAACAGAGACACACACAAACAGAGACACACACAAACAGAGACACACACAAACAGAGACACACACAAACAGAGACACACACAAACAGAGACACACACACACACACACGCTCTCTCTCTCACACACACACACTCTCTCTCTCACACTCACACACTCTCTCACACTCACGCACTCTCTCACACTCACGCACTCTCTCTCTCACACACACACACTCTCTCTCTCACACTCACGCACTCTCTCACACTCACGCACTCTCTCTCTCACACTCACGCTCTCTCTCTCTCACACGCACGCTCTCTCTCTCTCTCTCACACTCTCTCTCTCTCTCACACTCACGCACTCTCTCACACTCACGCACGCTCTCTCTCACACACGCACGCTCTCTCTCACACACTCACGC